TGCAGCTTAATTCTCAATAGCTAAGACCTGGAACCAACCCAAATGCCCTTCAACAGTAGGCTGGATAAAGAAATTGGGACATATACTCTATAGAATACTATACAGCAGTCAAAAACGACGAAACCCGGTCATTTGCAACAAGATGGAGGAATTTGGAAAACATCATGCTGAGTGAATTAAGCCAGTCCCAAAGGGACAAATATCATATGTTCTCCCTGATTGGCGACAACTAACTGAGCACCAAAGGGGAAACTTGTTGAAGTGAAATGGACACTATGAGAAACAGTGACTTGATCAGCTCTTGTCCTGACTGTTGATGTACAATGTAATACTTTATCCATTTTCGTATTTTTTTGTTCTAGTACTATTGGTTGAACTTTGTAATTACCACACAATTATTCTTAGGTGTTTAAGTTTTAACTGAAAAGTGATCCCTGTTAGGAATTTGGAAAGCATTATTGCTGAGTGAAATAAGCCAATCCCAAAGGGACAAATACCATATGTTCTCCCTGATCGGTGACAACTAACTGAGCACCAAAAAAGAAACCTGTTAAAGTGAAATGAACACTATGAGAAACGGTGACTTGATTGGCCTGCACCCTGACTGTTGATGAACAGCTTAATACATTATCCCTCTTAGTATTTTTGTTTGTTTGTTTGTTCTACTTAATACTTTTGGTTGAATACTGTAATCAATACACAGTTATTCTTAAGTGCTGAAACTTAACTGAAAAGTGATCGCTGTTAAATATAAGAGTGGGAATAAGAGAGGGAAGAGATGTGCAATTTGGGACATGCTCAAGCTGACTTACCTCAAACGGCAGAGTTAGAAACATACCAGGGGATTCCAATTCAATCCCATCAAGGTGGCATGTACCAATGCCATCGCACTAGTCCAGGTGTTTTTTTTTTTTTTTAAGATTTATTTATTCACTTGAAAGTAATAGTTACAGAGAGGCAGAGGCAGAGAGAGAGAGGTCTTCTATCCTATGCAGGTGCAGGGGCCTAAGGACTTGGACCATCTTCTGCTGCTTTCCCATGCCATAGCAGAGAGCTGGATTGCAAGTGGAGCAGCTGGGACTTGAACCGGAGCCTATATGGGGTGCTGGCACTGCAGGCAGCAGCTTTGCCCGCTGTTCCACAGCACTGGCCCCATATATGCTGGTTTACTCTCCAAATGGCCACAACAGCCAGAACTGGGCCAGATTGAACCCTGGAGCCAGGAATTTCTTTCAGATCTCCCATGTGGGTTCAGGGGCCCAAGCACTTCTGCTGATTTCCCAAGTGCATTAGCAGGGAGATGAATCAAAAGTGGAGCAGCTGGGACTTGAACCAGTGCCCATATGAGATGCTGGGGTTGCATGTGGCAGCTTTACCTGCTATACCAAAAAGCTGTCCCCCCAAATATTTATTTTTCATCATCAATACTCTCTGATAACAGTTTTCCAAGAAAGAAAACTTAATGCTTGGAAAAATATGGCAATGAAAAAAAGATGGAAGAAATCTGGAAAGCCAGTTAGTATATAAAGTACATAGTTGGTCAGTGGCAAAGTGAAGTTTTTAGATTATAAGGACATATTATTTGTATATTCAGTAGCATATGTTTACCACTGAACTTATGTGAGATCTGTGGCTTCTTGAGACTTATGGCATAGCAACATGAGAACTTTTGTGTTTCTCTTTGGGTATGTAAGCCTCATGATAAATTAAGATTATTTTGATTCAAATAAAATGTTGAATGATTATTTTGAATGTCTGTGTAGGTAAAAACAACTAAAATATATACAAAGTAAGTAAACACTTGGAAATTTTGACATCTTATTTTTCAATGTAAAAGGTTATAGTTTTAAAATTTGATTTTTTAAAATATTGAGAAAAGAGCAGAAATAGATTAATTTTAGTTAATTTGAAAATTTTTTTCAAGGAGAATTTTTAGGGTTTACACTTTGAAATAGTCAAACTCAGAGTCTTAGCAAAAAATTAAATGAAGTTGAAAAGCTTAGAGATGATGGCGCCTCCTTCCCTTGTATCAGTAAGCAGAGGCCATAGGAGGAAACAATCTGGAACACGAAGAGATAAACTTAATCACATCACAGTCATCATTGCATCTTGGCAATTATGCTTGGTGGTTGCACAGTCTTCCAGTGTACACTTTGAACTCTGCTTTGGAAGGGAGTGGATCTTGCATTTAGAAAAGCCTTTTTTGGATTAGTTACTCCTCAGCCTCGAATGCTCTTACCTAACTCTGGTTGAGTCTTTACTGCATACTCCTTTGGACAGGCTTCTTCCTAGGAGTTTGAATCCAAAAGTGGAGATTGATTGTTAATTATTTGCTGAAACTTGTCAACTACCTGAAGAAATCTTTCTCCCAGTAACACCTCTATGGAAAATCCCAGGCTGGTTTTACTCTAATGGAAAAGTCTTAAAAAGAAAGATAAATGATTGAATTTAGCTCATAATAAAGTTGATGTAGGTTGGGATGATGATGTTGTAGATTAAGAAGTTCAAAACTTAATAGAATGAATTGATAATGTTGTAACAACTTATTTGTATATGATTTTTCTATTTCCCTTCCTCCCTGCCTCTAATAAACACACATACATGCACACACTGGGTCACTGCCTGGTGAAGGATCCAGGAAGCCTGGAAGGAATACACATGTGAGCAGTATTTTTGAGGTTCCTAGAATGATTTTGTTAACAAAAAATTATAAAAACATTCCACCAGCCAAATTAAATATTAGTTATGCAAAGAGAATTAAACAGTATTATAAATCTCATTTGCCCTAAAATAAAGAACAGATACCAAGTATCGAAGTCATTTGATAATCATTTGAAAGGCATTATGTTTTTTAATACTTTGTCAATGTCAGTAACACAGTAATAATAATAATTGTCTTTTACTTACATTTGTTATGTCCGAGGTATTGTCCTATGAACTTTAAAAGTATCAAATTATTTAGTCTTTACCGTTATCCTCTATGCTTTTTATACTGTTTCAACATGGAAAACCCTTGCTACCTAGTTGTTGAGAGGCAAGCAACTTGAATCCATATGCTGTCTCTGTTGCTAATTAGTTATCCAACTCTTGTGTCCCCCAGTCTTCCTTTTAATAAAAATGCATGGAGTTATCATGAAGGTCAAATGTATGTATTTTATACATAAATAATGCCTGGATAGAATAAACAATATAAAATAAAAATTGTACTCAGAACTAGTTTTCCTTTTGATGATGATTATTCATCTTTTCATTCAATCACTGTTTTCCTGATGAGATTAAAAACAAGGCCGAAGGATGGAGGCCGTATGCATTTTATTTACTCATGTATTAGTCTCTAACATAGTGCTCGACACATGATAAATGAATTCAGGAGATATTTGGAATATTTAAGTTAATGAAATTGATTATGATTGAGTATGCTTGCATCAAAGCAGTTTTTTAAACATATTTTGCTGTTTGCCTAAAAATCATTTTTCTATTGATCTTGTTGGAAAAGACTTCTGGCAGTTTGTATTTTCTCAGTTTGGCCTTTTTACATGCACTTTGGTAAGTCTAATTGCTAAAACTGTCAAAAAGATTTTAAACACGTGGAATGCCTTTTAGATGTTATGAAATATTGCTCCAAGTATAATTTTCCCCAAGTATAATTTTGTTTTAACATAGGTACAAACCAAAACAAACACTTTTTTTTAATTTTATTGAATGATTGATTTTTTTTTTTTTTTGACAGGCAGAGTGGACAGTGAGAAAGAGAGATAGGGAGAAAGGTCTTCCTTTGCCGTTGGTTCACCCTCCAATGGCCGCCGCGGCCAGCGCACTGGGGCCGGCGCACCACGCTGATCCAATGGCAGGAGCCAGGTGCTTCTCCTGGTCTCCCATGGAGTGCAGTGCCCAAGCACTTGGGCCATCCTCCACTGCACTCCCTGGCCACAGCAGAGAGCTGGCCTGGAAGAGGGGCAACTGGGACAGAATCCGGCGCCCCGACCAGGACTAGAACCTGGTGTGCCGGCACTGCAAGGCCGAGGATTAGCCTATTGAGCCACGGTGCTGGCCAAAACAAATACTTTTGTGGTTAACTTTTGAAATTTCTGTTTCCTTAAATTCTTTTTTCCCCTTATTAAAGAGAGGAAACTGTAGAAAAGAATACTCTCTTTTCTGTATGTGACATGTCATTTGGAGAGCTAGTTACAATTGGTGATGAACTGTCTTGAATATAATAATGGTGTAGGAATTATATTTTTATCTTATATACAGTAGTTTTCAGAATTTGAAAAACTAGAGCAATAGTTTTTAGTATTATGTTTAAATAGTTGAGCATCATATATATATTTTTTTTTTTGACAGGCAGAATTAGACAGTGAGAGAGAGAGAGACAAAGGTCTTCCTTTTTCCGTTGGTTCATCCCCTAAATGGCTGCTATGGCTGGTGCACTGTGCCGATCCGAAGCCAGGAGCCAGGTGCTTCCTCCTGGTCTTCCATGCGGGTGCAGGCACTCAAGCACTGGGGCCATCTTCCATTGCCTTCCCGGGCCACAGCAGAGAGCTGGACTGGAAGAGGAGCAACCGGGACAGAATCTGCCACCCCAACAGGGATTAGAACCCGGGTGCCGGTGCTGCAGGCGGAGGATTAGCCTAGTGAGCTGTGGTACTGGCTACGGATCATATAATTCTTAGACACTATTATCTTAGCAGGCAGTGAACTTTTTGCTGAGAAAACTGTTAGTCATCTAGGCTCATCAAATATATAACAAGATTCCTAAAATAGGGAAAAAATGAAACTAAGTGGAAATTGATTTTTTAAGATCAGGAAGCTCTTTGTATTTACTTCCAACTTAAGTGTTCTTAGGGTTGTAGTGAATAAGCAGGTTTTAATTCATATGTTGATTTTGTGTAACTTATAACAATATTCTCTTTAGTCTTGTATTAATAAATCCTTATTATAATTTCCAGTTTTATATGTATTTTGGAATAATATCTGTTTTTCCACCTATTTCATTGTAGGCCCTGAAGAAACAAGAAGTTAAAGCAGATGAGAATGAGGGTGTAATCAAAAATAAGCTAAGACAAACTGAAAATGAGAAGAGTCAAGTAAGATTTTGAAAATTTTCTAAGGATATGGTAGTTTCTGGCAAGTGATGTTTGTTGAGTGCCTTGCAAACTGTCCCTGAGATTGCTCAAATGCCATGAAGTCTTTGTGTTTTGATGTGGAGACACTTGGTTGGATGACTTTGATCTTTGGTACGCTGCTTGGTCTTAAAAACATGCATCGGCCGGTGCCGCAGCTCAATAGGCTAATCCTCCACCTAGCAGCACCGGCACACAGGGTTCTAGTCCTGGTCAGGGCGCCGGATTCTGTCCCGGTTGCCCCTCTTCCAGGCCAGCTCTCTGCTGTGGCCAGGGAGTGCAGTGGATGATGGCCCAAGTGCTTGGGCCCTGCACCCCATGGGAGACCAGGAGAAGCACCTGGCTCCTGCCATCGGATCAGCGTGGTGCGCCGGCCGCAGCGCGCCTGCCGCGGCGGCCATTGGAGGGTGAACCAACGGCAAAGGAAGACCTTTCTCTCTCTCTCTCTTTCTCACTGTCCACTCTGCCTGTCAAAAAAAAAAAAAAAAAACCCCAAAAAAATATGCATCATGGGGGGCCGGCACTATTGTATAGCGTGTAAAGCCACCACCTGCACTGCCAGCATCCCATATGGGTACTGGTTTGAGTTCTGTTTGCTCCACTTCCAATGCAGCTCTCTGCTGTGGCCTTGGAAAGCAATGGAAGATGGCTCAAGTCCTTGGGCTCCTGCATGCATGTGGGAGACCTGGAAGAAGCTCCTGGCTGCTGGCTTTAGATCGGCACAGCTGCGGCCGTTGTGACCACTTCGGGAGTGAACCAGTAGATGGAAGACCTGTCTTTCTGCTTCTCCTCTCTCTGTGTAACTTTCAAATAAATAAATACATCTTTAAAATATACATCCTAATACTGATCACTTTTTTAAAAAAGATTTTTATTTATTTGAAAAGCAGAGATACAGAGAGAAAGAATAACATATATATGGGAGCGAGAAAGAGAAAGAGAGAGAATGAGACTCGTCTGTCTGCTAGTTCTGTCCCTCAGTGGCCATAACAGCTGGAACTGGGCTGGTCTGAAGCCAGGAGTCAGGAACCTCTTCCAGGTCTCCCACATGGGCCCAAGGGCCCAAGTACTTGGGCCATCTTCTGGCACATTAGCAGGGAGCTGGGTTGGAAGTGGAGTAGCAGGACTTGAACCAACACCCACATGGGATGCCGGCACTGCAGGTGGAAGCTTTGTCTATGCCACAGCACTGGCCCCTCTTTATTATTATTATTATTATTATTAAAGATTTGTTTATGTATTCGAAAGAGTTATGCAGAGAGAGGAAGAGACATACAGAGAGATCTTCCATCTGTTGGTTCACACCCCAAATGGCTGCAGTGGCTAGCTTGGTGCCAGGAGTCAGGAGCTTCTTTCAGATCTCCTGGGTGAGTACAGGAACCCAAGTACTTGGGCCATCTTCCACTGCTTTCCCAGGCACATTAGCAGGGAGCTGGATGGGAAGAGCAGCCAGGACTTGAACCTGTGCCCATTTGGGATGCCATTGTTGCAGATAGGGGCATAACCTGTGCAACAGTGCCAGCTCTACAGGTTACTTTCTACCTTGTCATCTGTAGGCTGCTTCCATTTTTTCTTTTTTTAAGGATTTGTTTTATTTACTTGAAACAGTTACAGAGAGAGGTAGAGACGGAGAGAGAGAGGTCTTCCATCCGCTGGTTCACTCCCCAGGTGGCCACCACAACGGCTGGAGCTGTGCTGATCCGAAGGAGCCAGGAGCTTCTTCCCAGTCTCCCACAAGGGTACTGGGGCCCAAGCAGTTGGGCCATCTTGTACTGTTTTCCCAGGCCATAGCAGAGAGCAGCTGGGACTAGAACTGGCACCCATATAGGATGCTGGCGCTTCAGGACAGGTCCTCAACCCACTGCACCACAGTGCCGGCCCTGGCTGCTTTCATTTTTCAAAAGACAAATTAAGCTTAAGCTTTCCTTGCTGGTGAACATTTAAACAACTATACTTTGTTGCATGGTTCAGAAAGAGCTGTTGTTTGAAAGCTGGATTAATTGGATATATTAATTTCGATTATAGAAGAAAGAAATAGCGAACAATCTTGATACAAAACATTTTTTGTTCTCAGCAAATATTAAAGACCTTTGAAGCATCATATTTCCACACTGGGCCTAGCGCTTTAGAGTTAAAAATAATTCAGAGACCAAACAATCCCCCCGGTTTACAAATGAGTAGCTCTAACGATGAGTCCAAGAGTCCAAGTAACTTCTGATGGAGTAAAAGTTTGCTCCTGTTTGTTACTTCATACTGCTTTTTTTTTTCTTTTTCTTTTTTTTGACAGGCAGGGTTAGAGAGAGACAGAAAGAAAGGTCTTCCTTTTTCTGTTGGTTCTCTCCCAAAGTGGCTGCTATGGCTGGTGTGTTGCGGCTGGCATGCTGCGCCCAGCGTGCTGCGCCGATCCGAAGCCAGGAGCCAGGTGCTTCCTCCTGGTCTTCCATGCAGGTGCAGGGACCAAGGACTTGGGCCATCTTCCACTGCACTCCCGGGCCACAGCAGAGAGCTAGACTGGAAGAGAAGCAACCGGGACAGAATCCGGTGTCCCAACTGGGACTAGAACCCAGGGTGCTGGCTGGCACCGCAGGTGGAGGATTAGCCTAGAGAGCTGCGGCGCCGGCTGTTTTTTTTAAACCTACCATTGCCTCCTTTGGTTCACCATCCTGTGTGAAGTGAAATAATGCTTTCATGCTACCTTCATGGTAAGCAAATTATGTCAGCTCATCAAATTTGCCCTTTGGAAATTTAATCTGCTAATGTTACACAAGGTTTATGAACAATTTGGGTCATTGTACCATTTTGACTGAAGTATGATTTCGTCCCTCTATTTCTTTACAAAATGAGAGAACAGGTTGGACAATGTTTTATGTGGATTTTCTGATACCATGTTCATTTTTCTTTAATGTGACATTGATTTTGAAAACTGTATAATTTTAAAAATAATTGTATAACTCCATTAAAAATTTATTTTCAATAATTACAGATAAGTTGGATGTTGTTAAAGAAAACAGGGAGAGGTCTCACATACTCTATGCCCAGTTTCCTTTAGTGGTATCATTATATGTAATTGCAACTCATTATCAAACCAGGATACTGACAGTGCTACTTTCCACAGAGTTTATGTAGATTTCACCAGGTTGTGTGCATTTACTTGAGTGTTGTGTGTGTGTTGTTCTGTCCATTTTTATCTGGTGTAGATTAACCACCAGCAGCACTTTCCATTCATAGAACTATCCTGTTACCACAAACCTCTGTCATGCTCCTTGATAGGCATACCTAGCACATGTACAGAATTTATAGAACTGATAAATAGCTATTTAAATTGAAATGATAATTTAGGATAACTATAAATCTAAGCACATAAACATGATAATACAGACTTTCATTTTATAAAACAGTTTCCATTGTAAAATGCTAACAAATCTAGCATACATAAGCTATGCATTTTTTTTTTTTTTTGACAGGCAGAGTTAATGAGAGAGAAAGACAGAGAGAAAGGTCTTCCTTCTGTTGGTTCACCCCCCAGATGGCTGCTGTGGCCGGCGCGTTGCGCCGATCCGGAGCCAGGAAACAGGTACTTCCTCCTGGTCTCCCATGCAAGTGCAGGGACCCAAGGACTTGGGCCACCTTCCACTGCTTTTTCGGGCCACAACAGAGAGCTAGACTGGAAGAGGAGCAACCAGGACAGAATTCGGCGCCCTGACCAGGACTAGAACCTGGGGTGCCGGCGCCGCAGGCGGAGGATTAGCCTAGAGAGCTGCGGTGCTGGCCTAGCTATACGTTTTTAACTAACATAGGTCTCATTACATTTTTCAACTTGAAATAAACCAGCATAGTCAGACTTTATAGGGAATTTAGCCACCTAACTGTCCACAAATTCCATGGATGTTTATCTATTGGAAATATTAATAGTGAAAACTTAAATATCTTACTTGGAATTTAGAACTTGAAGAATTTTAGAGTAAATTTTGAATATTTGGAATATAAGAAACCATGTTAGATGAAATATACTTTTAGTCATTAAGTTCCTGCTGTTTTAATTCTAATTTCATTCATTTGACACCACATGTTATAATTTAATGAAGAAAGTACTTTACAATTGAGATTAAAATGACTTACAATTGAAAGGGATCTGAGACTTAGATAAAATTCTTAATTTAGAGATGAGAGAATGGAGGCCTAGGGAAAAAAGATTTAAGCAGCATCACAGTTGAAATGGAACTGACTAGATCTGAGACATCCAGGGTACTTGGTCTAGTTCACTTATGTTATGTAATCAATATTATTTTGATTAAAGTTTTGATATATGTTTATACAACTTCAAAAAGTCCATGGAAATTGTGTTTGATAATATATATGGGGTCTCCCTATATGACCTGAATGATAGGTGCTCAATGATTCTCAAGATAAAACATTCCACCCTCACCATCAAATTGGTAAGTCTGTATACCAAAAATGAACTTATTTTAAAACTTCCATTTTCCACAAACTCTTTAAAGTACCCTCCATATCTGTTTATACATTTATCCTTTCATATTAGCTGTAAATATCTTCTGAAAACTTTGCTACTTTTTCTCCTCTTAGACTGTGCCGTAGTAATTTAGTTATTTTTCTGTCCCATTTGAAATATTTCTTTATCCTTTGTTGAAACCCTAGCTGGAACAGGAATTGGAGCTATCTCGAAGGTTACTGAATCAGTCAGAAGGCAGCAGAGAAACACTTCTGCATCAGGTAAGTCTATGCAAGCTATGATAATCTGCTTTTACATTAAGTCAAGACTGAGTCTTCTTCTCTATTAAATATCTTTTTGAAAGAGAAAAAGAAAGTAGGTCTAGGAAAATCTTTTCCTAAGGATTGTATGTTAGCTTACCTAAGCATAAGATGAAACCCTTTCAGGAAGATTGAGAAAAAGCCAGTACAAAACAGTAGCAGAAGTTCCCACTGTGACAGTGTATCTTGTGATTGCTGCTCCAACTTACTACTTATCTCTCTTAGCATGAGCATTGTAAATGTAAGACTGGTTGCATAAGATAACATTTTCCCAGGTGCTTAATTTTATTCAAGGAGTCTTTGGAGGATATAGGCGGAAATAAAATACATAAAATAGACCTTTGCATTTTCAGTTACTTTGAGTATATTTTTATCTTTTATTCATATTTTCATGATATTACCTGACCCTTTTTAATCAAAGATAAGGTTTAAATTTTAAATATAATATTTTTCGGTCCATTAGTCTATAATGAGAGTTTGGTGCTTTTGATATTTAAAGTTTGCTTAAAATAGCCATCCTATATATACCTATTGGATAGGGGCAGATGGGTTTCTAACTGCCTAACTGTATTTAATATAAATCACACATTGTACCTTGCTCTGTTTTGAGGTGTGTATATATAACTTTGCTACTTAATGTACTAGGTAGGCACACATGTCAGGTTTCATAGACATTTAGAAGTATTACATTTTGACAATTGGTGTTGAAAATACACTGTAGCACCTGTTTTATAAAACCTTCCAGAATGTTTCTTGACTTTGTTCTGCAGCCAGTGGTCACATAGCATTAATGTTTGCGAAGTTGATACTTTTGTTTTTAGGAAGTTTATATTTGTATTAGTTACCAATCTGATTATTTCTAGAACTTTGATTTGTAATCTATAATTTCAGTTTTTGAAGCAAGAGATTTCTTTGTTTAGATTGTCATCGTGGCTTTAGCTGAATTTTTTTGGCCACTGCTCACTTATTTAGTGGTCAGTAGAGAAGTGTATACTATGTGTTATGCAGTTTACAGATATCAAGATGAATAAAATAGTTCCTGACTTCAAGAGTTTATAGTTTATGCAAAGGTATTTATTGGTTATTTATTTTTAGCACTATTTTGGTATCACGATATGATGAATCATGATCTTTTCACTTGAGTTAACAACCCATGGCTCAGATTTCCATCAAAGAAAAGACATGAAAAGTAGACATAAAAACATAGTACTTCACTGGAGGTGATTTGTGTTAATAGTGCTATAATAGACTGAGTCAAGATAAGGGATTTTAAGAAATGTAGTCAAATTATTTGTCCCAGTGGATATAGAGAAGGAAAAGACATTTTTTGAGGAAGAACTGAAACAATGAAGAATAGAGCAAGAGACTGTTTCACCGTTCTTGGTATATAGCAAGATTAACTTAGGTATAACCTGTGTTTACAGTAACCTGTTAGAAGTAAAATTTATACCCAGGGAAGTAACAGTTTTTGAGCTGAAGTATTTTCTTCCTGTTTTTGAAAACTGATAAAAGTTTAATTTTTGACTAAATGTATTTAGGTACAAGAACTGCGAACACAGCTAACAAAAGCAGAAGGTGATCGAAAGGGTCTACAACATCAAGCATCTCCAGTTACCAGGCAACAGTCAAACCATCAGGATGAACAAGGGGATGACTGGAAGTTTAGAAGAGGTAGAATTCGCACTTATAAATATGTAGATTTCTCATTTTCAGAGTTGTGTTCCTTATGTTAATACTTATATCATCTTATTTCTTGATTCACTACGGGGTTTCCCAGCAGGTTGATCTCAATTTAGCATCCAGTTTTAAGGCCATGTGTGCTTGATTTCAAAACTCATTTTAGTTGTTAGACTTCTTTATCTCTTAGGACTTTATTTTTAAGAAAGCACCTGCAAAGGTAGTAGTGGAAATTTTTCCTGTTTCCCATGTCTTCCAGTTGAGTGTGCTTGTTTGTACTGTTCCATGTATTTAACAGGGGCCAGCGCTGTGGCGTAGCAGATAAAGCCACCGCCTGCAGTGCTGGCATCCCATATGGGTGCCGGTTTAAGTCCCAGCTATACCTCTTCAGATCCAGCGCAATGGCCTGGAAAAGCAGTGGAAGATGGCACAAATGCTTGAGCCCCTGAACCTGCACGAGAGACCCAGAGGAAGCTCCAGGTTCTTGGTTTCAGATCCGTGCAGCTCTGGACATTGCAGCCATTGGGGAAGTGAACCAGTGGATGGAAATCTCTGTCTCTCTCTCTCTGCCTCTGCCTCTATGTGACTCTGCCTTTCAAATAAATAAAACAAAAATTTTAAACATAGTTCCATTTTTCACTTTGTTTTTTCCTAGTTTTCTTTCTTTCTTTCTTTCTTTCTTTCTTTCTTTCTTTCTTTCTTTCTTTCTTTCTTTTTTTTTTCTTTAAGGATTTTATTTATTTATTTGATAGATAGAGTTATGGTCAGAGAGAGGGAGAGACAGAGAGAAAGGTCCTTCCTCCGCTGGTTCACTCTCCAAATGGTCACAGTGGCTGGAGCTGAGCTGATCTGAAGCCAGGATCCAGGAGCTGCTTCTTGGTCTCCCATGCACAGGTGCAGGGGCCCAAGTGCTTGGGCCATCAGCCACTGCTTTTCCTGGCCATAGCAGAGCTGGATCAGAAGAGGAGCAGCCAGGACTGAAACTGGCGCCCATATGGGATGCCAGTGCCACAGGCAGAGGATTAACACTGCGCCACAGCACCAGCCCCTTGTCCAAGTTTTCAATATATGAGCAATTAGATTCAGTTCAAAATTAAAAAAAAAAATTGTTCATTTGAAAGGAGGAGTTAGAGACAGAGGGAGGGATTGAGGGAGAGCAGAGAGAGAGAGAGAGAGAGAGACAAGAGACAGAGATAGAATGTTATCTTCCATCTGCTGGTTCACTCCCCAAATGGCTACAATGGCAATGGTGTATCTGGGTCAGGCCCAAGCCAGGAGCAGGGAACTCTATTTGGGTCTCCCACTTGGATGGCAGGAACTCAAGTGCTTGAGCCATCACCTGCTGCCTCCCAGGTTGCATTACTAAGAAACTGGATTAGAAGCATGTAATAGCCAGGACTCAAACTGGCACTCTGATGTGGGATGCGGGCATCCCAAATTGTGACTTAACCTGCTGTACTATAACACCTGTCCCTCAATTAATTTTAATGAGCTAGTATAGTTTAAATATCCCTTGGTATCAAATATCATTTATTTATAAAAGAAGACTCTAAGCTATTAGTTTATTCATCAGATTTTCACAGATACATATTGGAATTCTCATTTTGTTGGTAAATACTACCACATTTGTTACATGTATTGATAATTCTTAAATATAGTTATTTTTGGCATGTAAGTCTTTTAGGACTAGAAAAATCAAACTTATCAGATTAATCAGAGTACTTTCCAGTAGCTCTTTAAAATGTGATAATGGACTTTTTACCTTCTTTTATCAGTTCTAAGATTTTTTCATCTTTAGAGAATACTTTCAGTAATTAAAGACAACTGTAGATTTTTCTCCTGATGACTACAAAATGAGTTCAAATCATAGAGAGACCCAAACTTTTTCTACAACAAACTTGAGCTCTCCGTTGCTGTAATGACCCAAGCATTCTGGATTATATGAGACAGTCCTTTGGATGTGGCATGAGAGCATTTGTAATACTGTTTGTATTTTAATCCAAATTTTGGGAAAAGTGTCATTATATATATATGTGTTTCTATGTATAAATAAGCATGTATTTATAAATAAGCTTATTTTACGTGTATATATTATAAAACATATCAAAATATTTTGTCTCTGTGCTAAATATATATACATCCATAAAGTGAACATATGTATATATACACATTTGTGCCTCATTTATATCATGTAATATTTATATTTATATACATTTCATGTCTTTTTTTGAAATTTATTTATTTTAAAGAGAGATATCTTTGATCTACTGGTTCACTCCCTAAATGGGTGAAATTGCCAGGGCTGCGCCACACCAAATCCAGGAACCAGGAATTTGAAATGGGTCTCCCATGTGGGTGGCAGTGGCCCAAGTACGTGATCCATCTTCTGCTGCTCTCCCAGATGCATTAGCAGGGTGCTAGTTTAGAAGTAGAGCAGCTGGGACTCCAACCAGCACTCATAAGTGGCAGTAACCTGTTGTACCATAACACTGACCCTTATGTATTTTTTATATATATCTTTGAAAATGTTTTATATATATAAATATAAAATGAAGCATATCTATCTGTTTATGCTATTGAGACGTACGTTGTAAGCATGCACATAAAGTATATAGATTTATAAATACATTTATAAAATAACCAAATACATGTGTTTATAAAGTCAATACATACATTTCCACATAAACAACTAAATGTATTTTCAATTTGGAGATGTAGTGTGAATAGGTAAGTAGGAACAATGGACCAAATGCAGACTTCTACCTGTTTTTGAAAATAAACTTTATCGGAAGACAGCTAGTCCCTTTGTTTGGTCTACTTTCACAATACAGTAGCAGAATTGAGTAGTTGTGACATAGATTGTATAGCTGAAATATTTATTATCTGACCCTTTATAGAATATAAAGTCTGTAGGATAAATTGAAAGTTCTCTAGCAACACAAAGTCCCTGCCCACTCTTCCGACCTGCATGCTCTGGGTGTTCACTGTTTAGAACTACTGGGTGTGTATTACCTGGATATTAAATTCAGTTTTGCACCCTTGGGTTATGCTATTTCTATTCCCTAAATTAACATCTGAACTCCATCTCCTTTGTTTGGAGAAATTTTACATTATTCAAATATAACTTAGTTTCCAATTCTTTGGTCCTTATTTCTGACCAAGATACAGTAAATTATTTTTGTTAATTTTTATTTATAATGCTCATGCCTGTCAGTGTTTTATCATGCTATTGAAATGCATCTCTAGTTTTATGACTTCCTTTCTAGTGTGCATAATTTTGATCTCTTTAAATATTTTTTTTTTTGACAGGCAGAGTGGACAGTGAGAGAGAGAGAGAGAGAGAGAGAAGGGTCTTCCTTTGCCGTTGATTCACCCTCCAATGGCCCCCGCGGCTGGTGCGCTGCGACCGGCACACCGCGCTGATCTGATGGCAGGAGCCAGGTACTTATCCTGGTCTCCCATGGGGTGCAGGGCCCAAGGACTTGGGCCATCCTCCACTGCACTCCTGGGCCACAGCAGAGAGCTGGCCTGGAAGAGGGACAACCGGGACAGAATCTGGTGCCCCGACTGGGACTAGAACCCGGTGTGCCGGCGCTGCAAGGCGGAGGATTAGCCTATTGAGCCGCGGCGCCGGCCTCTCTTTAAATATTTCTGGCACTGGGATATATTTTATGAATGATGAATAAATTTGGTTTAGTGTTTTCTTTTTCCCACCTTCCTTTTTTGGGAAGGAATCTGCTAGAGAAAATATGGTCTTAAATTGATAATATATATTCCAATTGTTGACATTCTCTTGTCAAGGAAGGACTTTATGTCTTGTCTGTTTCTAGAAAGCAAGCTCTCTGAGGATGGCTTAGTTACTCATCTTTGTATTGAAGGGCATGCTGTATGTAATGTGCCCTGTGCATCATAGAGCAGTACTTCATGTTAAATTATTTTGTTCAGTGATCTAATTTTAGGCAGTAGTCTCCAGAATTAGTAAATTGGTGTTTGTACACAGTCAGAAATTGATCAGTATCTTTTGTTGGTTATTTTGCAATAAAAGCATTTCATTGTGAAGTCCTTAGACCCTTTGGTCAGAGGGAGTAGTTTAGTTGAAAATTTTTTAGTATTTTTGTTTTACAATTTGGTGGTAACATAGAGATGTGAGCAAAATTTAATGTGTGTGTAGGATTTTCCTGAAATAAATTTACTAGAAATCAGATAGATTATAATATCAAAGTAGAATTGGATGACATAGCAACATATATATTTTTGAAAACTTTGTGATACTTGTGAAACAATGGACTGCCAAAGTCTGAAAAGATTATTGAATCTAGTGGATTATGTTGGCTAGAATATTAAAACAATGGGGCTCAGTATCATTTGAAAATGCATTTTCATTTGAATAAAAGATAGCCATTTACCTTCATATTTTCTCTTTTAAGGGGTAGAGCGGGAAAAACAGGATCTGGAGAAGCAGATGACAGATTTGAGAGTGCAGCTGAACTTCAGTACAATGGCATCCGAGTTAGAGGAAGTAAAGCGGTGCATGGAGCGCAAAGACAAGGAGAAAGCACATTTGTCAGCACAAATACAGGTGAGTTTGCTCTTTTTAAGTGTGTTTGGAAGTTTAATTTTGTTAGAACTGCCTATGAAATTTTTATTTAAAGAGATGTTATTTTATGAACTTTAATTTGGGTTTTGATAAGTAAGTTTATGTTAGTAATTTACTAATATATGGAAATTTCTATGGATTCAGGTAAATTTCAATAAATCCTGAGCTATTATAGTTTATAAAGTGGATAGTGAGAGAGAGAGACAGAGAGAAAGGTCTTCCTTTTGCCGTTGGTTCACCCTCTAATGGCCACCGCGGCCGGCACGCTGCGGCCGGCGCACCGCGCTGATCCGAAGGCAGGAGCCAGGTGCTTCTCCTGGTCTCCCATGGGGTACAGGGCCCAAGTACTTGGGCCATCCTCCACTGCACTCCCTGGCCACAGCAGAGAGCTGGCCTGGAAGAGGGGCAACTGGGACAGAATCCGGCGCTCCGACTGGGACTAGAACCCGGTGTGCCGGTGCCGCTAGGTGGAGGATTAGCCTATTGAGCCGCGGCGCCGGCCTGGATTCAGTTTTCTTTTATTTGGAACCCTAATGCCAGGAAATTGGATTTTTCTCCTGTGTCACAGTGAAATCCTTGTCTATTATTAAATACAAAATATTTTTTGTTCTGGTAACAGTTAAGCCCTTCCTTCGGAAGAGGGACCTTTCTTTGCTAAGAGTGAGAACAGTGAATTACCATTTATTTTTGGAGGTGGTTCTGGCAGAAGCTATAGTGCAAAGGTATTACTGCTATTTCTTTTTTGGAACTATAAAGGTTTTTGAGTCTTCAGCTCTTTTGTGTGAGTTAGTGTTGTGATGCCTTCATTAATTTAGAATTGTATAGTTATCATGAATGATATGGAAGCCACAAATGAAATGTAACTAGGCAACTACCATTTCTGCTTGTCTTTTGTCTAACATGGATGAGGAAATGGCTTTATTCCAATTATAATTATGCAAATTAGATCAAACATGGGTGACACATTTGGAAATAAATATGTATCAATCCTCCCCTGTATCTGTTTTTATTAGTACACTTGTATTCTAAATGTAATAAGTTGGACCACTTGAAGGATTTTCCAAAATTGTAATGAAAAGTAGAAAATTGGTATTAAAAGCACCTGACTTTATTTAACCCAGAGCAAATATTTAATGTTACTCCAGTCTGAGTTTCTCTTTCATCTTATCAGCATGTCAGTAGAAAATATCTTCTAGATTTGTTCAAAATTCAGATTATAAAGATAATGAAATATGGGCATACTCTTTACAAAGCCCTTTACATGTTTAGAAAATACTTATCAGAAACAGTCTCGTTGCAATGGTAATTATATGACTTTTAAAGTTTTCTTCATGGGTATTATTTTGCCCCTTGATCTTGTTAATGAACGTGTTTTGCTGAAGTTAAGTCTTTAATTTTAAAGCTATGCTAATAAACATAAAAGGTAGATAAGCCCCTTTGCTAGCTGTTCATATTATCTGTTGGTCCTGTCTGCCTCCTTCTCTCCCTTCTTTACTTCGTTCCCATTGTTTCTCTTCATTTGGTATAAAATGAAAAGAAGAAAATGATCTCAAATATGTGGGCAGTTAAATAAGTGGCTTGGAGTAGCCCAATAGTGCTCTCATTCAAGGACTTTTCTGCTTGTCCTTAATTAATAGTCTTGTTATGCTTTACATAAGTTAGGGAAGAGCTTGAGTTTTCATGGGTCAATTTGGACTATTTGTATAGGATTTAAGAATGAGAAACAATTGGAAAGAGAGGTTTTTATTCATACACCCAATGTTATGGAGTATTTGTTATGTGTCAGGCACTGTTCTACATGCAGTATAGCAGTGAACAAAAACTCAGACAATTTCCTACCTCTTGCAGTTGACATTGTGTAGTTAATGCAGAAAGTTGTATCTCACTTCTAAGAACAAATTCCTTTTGTACAAAGATTTTTTTTCTCTCTCCAGTTGCCATTGAAGAAGAAATCACAAAAAGCATTCATTCCTGGCAGAGATTACCATTAGCTAGTTTAATATATTTTTTTTTAATATTTGTTTATCAGAGAGAGAGAGAGAGAGAAGGAGAGAGAGAGAATGAGCTTCCATCCACAGATCTACTCCTCAAATGCCCATGGTGGCCAGGACTGGGCCAGCCTGAAGCTAGGAGCCCAGAACTTAATTGGGAATGGAGACAAAACTAAAACCTACGCAATCTGATGTGGGATGCGGGCATCTGAACGGCTACAACAAATGCTGCCTCCATTAACCAGTTTTATTTCTTCATATTTTCTTATTGTTAGAAATAAAATAACTTGGGGCTGGCGCTGTGGCCTGAAGTGCCAGCATCCCATGTGGGAGCAAGTTCTAGTCCTGGCTACTCTTCTTCCAATCCAGCTCTCTGCTATGGCCTGGGAGAACAGTAGAAGATGGCCCAAGTCCTTGGGCCCCTGCACCCACGTGGGAGACCGAAAGAAGCTCCTGGCTTTGGAGTGGCACAGCTCCTGCCATTGTGGCCAATTGGGGGTGAGAACCAGTGGATGGAAGACCTCTTTCTTTTTCTCTACCTCTCTTTGTAACTCTTTCAAATAAATAAATAAAAAAAAAGTAAAATAACTAAAAATTAAACAAAAAAAAGAAGAAAGAAATGCCCATGTGTATTGGTATTTTTTTTTTTTTTTGGACAGGCAGAGTGGACAGTGAGAGAGAGAGACAGAGAGAAAGGTCTTCCTTTGCCGTTGGTTCCCCCTCCAATGGCCGCTGTGGCTGGCGCGCTGTGGCCGGCGCACCGCACTGATCCAATGGCAGGAGCCAGGTACTTATCCTGGTCTCCCATGGGGTGCAGGGCCCAAGCACTTGGGCCATCCTCCACTGCACTCCCTGGCCACAGCAGAGAGCTGGCCTGGAAGAGGGGCAACCAGGACAGAATCTGGCACCCCGACTGGGACTAGAACCCGGTGTGCCAGCACCGCAAAGCGGAGGATTAGCCTAGTGAGCAGCGGCGCCAGCCATATATTGGTATTAATGCAAATATAGTTTTGTGAAGTCAATGGCTTTCTCCTTTGTCAAACCAGTGACTAAGAATGTTATATTAATAGTTTTAATAATCTGTGACTATTAACTAACTTGATTAATTGCACATAAGTTGTTTTAGATGTAGTAGCAGTTCTGATTATGCCTGGTTTTTCAGACTTTGTAGAGGCTTTTCGATTATTTTTATTCCCCAAGTTTTCTCAAAGTGATTTGTAGGGCAGAGTTTATAAGAGATACAAGTCAGAAACCGCTCAATTATAACCTCTAATGGCTCAGGATTTTATTGAAGTTTAACTCAATACCATTTAGTTTCTGGCTTCTTTTCAGAAAATGTCAGATAGTATGGAGCTTTTGCCTTATACATTATATAAAAATTGAAGAATAATCTATTTCAGTTGCTTTCTAGAGACCAAATATGAATTTTAAAAATGCATGAAAATGAGATTATTGGTTAGGTCAAAGAATGTTGGTATAAATAGTTCTAATGATTTGTTTAATCATATCTTTATTTAGTTTTTATAAAAGATCTTTCTTTTTCTTTTTAAAAGATTTATTTACTTATTTGAAAGGCAGTGATTTGGGCAGGGGGTGGAGGAAGGAAGGGAAGGAGTGAGAGAGATCTATCTTCCATCCCCTCATTCACCCCCTAAATGACTACAGTGGCATGGGCTGAGCCAGACTGAAGCCAGGAGTCAGGAGTTTCATCTGGGTTTCTGAAGTGGGTTCAGGGGGAAAAAGTACTTAGGCCATCTTCTGCTGCTTTCTCAGGTCCGTCAGTAGTGAGCTGGATCAGAAGTAAAGTAGGCAAGACAGCAACTGGCGCTCACATGGATTGGTGGCACTTCAGGCTGCTGTGCTGTAACACTGTCCTCATATCATTATTTTAAAGCTAGATTTTCTGACAACTATTGTTTAGAACTTAATATATAATCTTAACAAGTAATTCATTTTTTTCTAAAATTTCCCGAGTCATTTCTATTTATTTTGGCTTTTGTTCCAGTTGTTCTGTTTCTGTAATATCTTTTCTTTTTGTAGAATCCTAAACTGTTTGTTCTCTGAAATCTTTGTGGGTTACATTAGCTGAAAGTGATTTCCTTTTTCCTTTTGTCTATATCACTAATGTTCTTGTGACATCTAATTCAGACTGTCTTAAAGTAATCTTAGTGTATGCCTTTAAAATTTAAAAGTAGGTAAAAATAAAGTAGCAAAGGCAATGTTGGAGAAAGCCAGCTACCCTGTTCCCAAGACAAACTTGACTTTTATGTCCTTACATAATTAAGACATGTTTCAATATCTTGTTGTTACATATGAAAACTTTTGTTTTCTGTGTTTTAGAGTTAATGTGACCCAAGGTACTGGCTTATAATAACAGTTAAACCCACAAGAAAGCAGTATTTGAGTGCCAGTTATTGAGTTACCCTATAGACATCCTGTATAGATACTAAAACACTGTTCTCTTGTGCTTGGTGCTAGTCTCCCAATTTTTATACCCAGGTTTTAGAATTAGTAGCCAAATAATGTCTTGGTGAACACAGAAATTGAGAATAATGGTGTCTAAAGAGCTGCTTGTTCCTGGCAATAGTAAGGCTCCCCAGCTTTCCAACTCTGTTAAACATAGTCCTTATTTACTTCAGTGAGGTTCTTTGTCTTTATTCCTGGAGTGTGTTCAAGTGACATCTATTACCTTTCTAACAGTCTTCTCTAGTGCTCCCATTCTGCTGTTCAACCTTAGATTTATTTTTTCTTTCAATATGTTGCTGTGCCCAGATGTTGCTCTGGGTCATTTGACAGTTTGCATTGATATTATAATTGTAACTTGCAACCTGCTAAGAGCCACTAAGGGATGAATTAAAGGTGTCTGTTCCCTTTATCAGATCCCAAGTGGGCATGGGATGAAAACCAGGTGTTGTCTGGTGTGTCCCACTGTGTTCCTGCATAATGTGATACCCATACTAGGTACTTAATTGACGTGATTATTATTTTTAA